AACTATTTGTCCATTAAAATATGCTATAAGCAAGCAAGTATTTGGCATTGTGTGCAGTAGAGTAGGGGCTGGCCAGAGAGGGAATATGATAATGTACCTGGTCAGATCGAGCATGTATTGGAATATATGTGAAACAAAAATCCCTATTCTTATGCAATAGTTTGCTAGAAATATGTAAAGGTGTACAGTAGTCTGCAAAGCTTGATTTCAGAATGCTCAGTATTTCCGCGCTATAAACCAGTACCTCTGGGTTTAGCTTCCAGCTAAGTATGAATAATTGATTTTCGTGACCTCACACACTAAACCCATTGCTTCAACTTGTGATAGCATGTAATGCAACACTATACTCTGTTATTGTTTTTTTTAATACTGATATACTGGAGCTATTTGCAGTTTTAGATGATTTTCAATAATGTAAGTTTAATAAGTATTCCCTGATGGAAAATAGGTTTCAGGTGCATAGATCTCTTACAAATCTGTGTTTGCACACTAAATTTAAAATTGCAGAATGGTTTTATGATCCATGAATCCTTTGTGACTACACCTTTTAAGATCTTGTCTTGTTTTGGCTATACAGTTTGTTTTTCCTTTTGTTGTAGATTTTTTGATATGGTTAACAGCATTACTGAAGAAAAGGGAAAAAACACAGATGACGTGGATTTTGATGGAGATGCCCTTGAAGTAAGCATGACACTTTTTATTTAAACAGTCTATAGCTAGTAGTTGGTTGGCATATTTCCAGCTGTAATAAATGATTTTCCCTTATCTGAACTGTTGGGTCATATTTTAGGGGATACAGTACATGTTTAGTTTTGGATGGAGTAGAAAAGAAAAATGTTCGTAACCCTGTCTGGTTTTATTATTCTAAGTACTGATGAAGGGGATTCATTAGAGTCCCCAAAACATGTTGGTTTCTTATTTTAATGCTTAATGATCAGATATGTTATCCAAGGCCTCTCAACAATTGGTGTGGTGCTCCTGTTTCTTCCTGTGTATGTCTTCGTTTCTGTGAATTGCTAGTCGGAGCCCATATACCTTTTAATGCAATTTTATATTTTGATCCACATGTGGATCCGCCATTTCCAACTGTCACAGCAATTTAAACCTGACCGAGATTACAACCTTTGTCCGCTATGTCTAAAACTTGAAAAGAAACATTTTAGTCAATAAGTTGCCATCTTGGCAAATACAGCTATGGATTAATGTAATGACTGGGGAATAAATTTTTTTTTTTTATCCTGAACTTTTGATGTGTTTAAAGTAAGATTTTACATTTTACACCTTTTAACCACTTGAAGACCAGGTATTTACTGGCCAGGCCATTTTTCAGTATTTAGCGCTACAGTACTTTGACTAACATTCCGTTATGCAGCGCTGTGCTGAAATTAATTTTATACCATTTTTGGGGACAGATAGATCTTTCTTTTGATGGTATTTATTCACCACTGGGATTTTTATTTTTTATTATATTAAGGAAAAAGTACTGAAAATTTTGGGGAAAAAAGTTTTTTTTTTACATTATGTTGGGAAACAATTATTACCCAATTTTTTGGTAAAATATAAAAATAGGGGTCACGTCGGGGTAAATAGACACCAAACATGTCAAGCCTTAAAATTGTGCGTACCTGCAAAATCACAAAAAACTACCATACCTAAAATTGGCCCTAGGCGACGCTTTAAAAGTTTTTACCGCTCATCAGTTTAGTGTTATCAGTGATTAATGGCCCTATGGCGCAATCGTCATTTTTGCACGTATGCGCACCCGACGCATGTTTGCAAGCAGGTATGGGTGGGGACTTTAAAAAAAATGTTGTTTTTGGTTTTTTTCTTTTTTTTCTTTTTTATTCTTTTTCATGTGTGACTTCAATTTGTTTGTTTTTTTGCAACTTTAATTTTTTTCATTATTATTAATATTATTATTATTATTTTTTCCACTTAACGTTATTGTTATCACATAGGGGTCTAAGAAACCCTCTATGTGATAGGAAAAAGATGTGACGGGTCCTCTCCAAGAACCCTAATGTCACCTGGGGACCCCCAAAGAAGCTGATGAAGCACAGATCTGCTTCATCAGCTTCTCTCCAGCTTCTATTTTTCTACAACGTCCAGCTGGGAGGTGGTTAAAATATAACTTAACCTTTGCAACAATAATAATGAAATAATTACCTAATTCGTTTGAAGTATCTATCAAGTTAAAATGTAAAACTTTGCTTGGCATACAATTGTACACAGCTATCTGTGGTATATTTACAAAAACCACAAGATAAATGTAAACATTCAGCTGGAGGGCTCTGTGGTGTTCTGTCCACAAGCTCCAATTCACTCACCTCCCATCACTCCTGCCTGCCCGCTCCCCTCTATTTGATTCTTCCTGGCCACCGCTGCTGCCGCGACATCTAGCGGCAGACGTAGAGAACTTTCACTGCTGCACTAGGAGTAGCCTCTCAGCACACCACAAGCCATGTTGCGACCCCCTTAGCTGTGGGTTGGGACCCACTTTTGGGTCGCGACCCACAGGTTGAGAACCACTGGCTTAAGTGAACCTTAGACAGTGTTTGTATTGCAAAGGAAGCGAGGGTGTCAGATCAGTTCTGTTCAGTGCTGATCACTGAAAGAGGTTTGTCTGTCTGCATATCTGCTGTAAAAAGGAAGAAGAGTTAAGACCATAAAAATGGGGTTTGTGAGTACAATATCTATGTGACTGCATATCTATCTTTGTTACTTCACATGGGCGTCATAGAGTTTCATGTACAAACATTTATGTTGCTACTTGGACTTAGAATATTTACCTAATTAATTGTTTGCCTATTAATTATATGTCTATTAATCTATCTTGATAAATTAGCTTGCATACTGTCAAAAAAAAATACTACTTTTTGTAAATGTATTTAATTACATATTACATTCTACTTTTGGGATTAAACTTGAAGAAACAACACTTTCTTCCTTTGTTTAGTTTGATTATGAATATGATGAAAACGGTGACAGAGTAGTCCTGGGTAAGGGTACCCATGGAGTGGTATACGCTGGACGAGACCTCAGTAACCAAGTGAGAATTGCTATCAAGGAGGTTCCCGAGAGGGACAGCAGGTAAGTTCATGTCAAAATATACAGCTAAATAAGAACTGTTGATTAAAGTCACTAATAACTGCTGCTGAAAATAATTTACAATTAATATTACCATAGCCTGCTAGCCCAACAAGCATTCAAGAGTAATACTGTCTGCTTATGCTTTAAAGCATAAGTGTACATTTATAAACATTTAGTTTTCTCAGAATTAGTAGGTGTTGTGTTGTGTTAGACCGCCGCTAATAGGCACAGGGTTATTAGCAGACATCCCATATTCATGTGTGGAGCTATGGAGTATGATGAAGCAAAGCAGGCTTCAATGAAATATAAGATATCAATCAAGATGACATGGTGTGAGCACCAGGGCACCTCCCCTGGAAGCTCTGTTGTTTCCAGGCCATAGCCTGTGTGGACATCTATATGATAAATATTGCTCGGCAACAAACTATTCTAGGTTAAAAGAAAAAAGTTCTTATGTGTGTAATTGCCTGTATGTTTAAACTATGGGGATGATTTATAAAGCGTATAGCTGGATGAATACCATTCACACAGACGAGAGGACGAGCAGATTTTTCCAGCCCTGATTATACAGGATTGATATAGCGTTAACAGTTTGCACAACGCTTTACAATTTCAGGAAGTTATTACAATACAATTGGGATCAGGAAGGATTTTTTTTCTCCCCTGTGGAGCAAAGTGAACTATGCTTCATTTTTTTTTTGCCTTCCTCTGGATCAAAAGTGGGTAACTGTGGGCATAGCATTCTTTTAGGTTTTTCTTTTTCCCTTTTATCTCTATAGGTTGAACTTGATGGACTTGTGTCTTTTTTCAACCTGACTAACTATGTAAATTCAAGACACTATGGTAAGGAGGGCCCTGTCTGTCAGAGCTTGCAATCTAAAAGATCACCAAAAGACAACATTTTATCTGGTTGAAGGGAAGTTGAAAGCATGCAGCTAATGGTCCATTTTTCTTCAATATCTGTACATTAGCACAGCATTGTAGCTGCCCCCCTAAACACGCTCATAAAATCCCTTATTATATAGTGTGCACATGGAAACCAAAAATTACTTTTCGTCAGTCAATTGTGTGACCATCTCCAATCTCTACACTATTTATGTTTTTCCATAAATGGCCCAGGTATATGGAGGTGGCTGGTTCATTATATTAGACATTTAAACAAAATATAACTTTCCCTGGCAAGTAAGTCAGGCCAGCTGACATACAGTATGTATAGCTTGTTCCGATCACTCCTTACCATCTGCACACAATGTAGTAAAAGCAACTGGTGCACTGCTGCTGTGCTACATACGGATAACATGTTTGACCCGCTAGGTCTTTTTAAGTCCCACAATAATAACCTTATATGCTGTATCATATGTTGTGATGACTTTAATTTCAGGCATGAAATGGTCCAGTCGAGTAAATTGTAGGAGACATGTTAGGTTTCTCAGGATTATAAAATCCACTGTATTAGTTTAAGCAAGTGCTGGACTTTGATGAATATTCTTAGAGCATTGCTCAAGTTCTGATATAAAAATAGAGATGTGGAAAGATTGAAGTACTTTCCAAAAAACATTTGGCAGTTCTGCATGCAGAGTTGTGAGAACTGAAGTAGAGTACATGACTCATCCTGCTGAATACCAGGATAAGATTCCATCTAGCAGACACAATTTGGAAATCGTGCATGTTTATGATACAGTACTGTAGGTATTACATGTCATCAGTAGTGATTACATTTTGCATCCTCCCAGAATGACATAAAATATCAACAGTAGTTCTCCACTTTATAATTCTGGGTGACCTGCCTATCTATAGGCCTCTTGCAGGAAGCAGTGGGGGGCACACATCAGGGTGTAGACTTTAATGCTAGTTATAAAAGCATTGCATCTGAAAGACGAAGACCCAATACCAGTTTTAACTGCAAAATAAATATGTGGGCTCTATTCCTTATTGCTACATAGAGTGTTTCCTTCCAAAGTCAGCCTTTTCTTTAGAGTTTAAAACCAGGAGGAATCTACTTTTTTTTCCCATGATGGTCCCATTTTGCTGATGTCACTGCTGAGACTCCTCTTCTGGATCCTGCTGAGAGATCCTCATTGCTGAACAGCAAATAGGAAGTGTCTCCATCAGGAAGGCAGTGATCTGCGCACCTAAAGAAGGACCCCCCCCTTCCTTTACACAGAAGGAGAGGGAAGACTTGGGGCAGTTAGGTAATTTGTTTTCTATGCTAGCAATTGGTTAGAGGGCGGCAGGTGAAGGGATAATTGTGGGGCAGATGGCAGGCTGGATGTGGCTTTAATCTAACATTCAATAGATAGAGGGCAAATTTTAGTAACCGATCCAGCCACAAAATGTTTTGTCACCCAAAAAGACACATAGACTTGCATGTCTGTATGCTAGTGGGGGACTGTGGTGCCTCATAGATATCATAAGCATTATCTATTCTTGGCAATTTTGTGGGACCATGTGACAATCTGCTGCTTGTATGTATTGGTAAGGAACTGGCAGAGTGCATGATATCGTATATTTAAAGAGGCTCTGGCAGGTCCCAAACAAATGCAGTGGCTGTCCCCTGCAATAGCAGAGGTAGCACTTCTATGTAGAGACAGAGGAAGGTACCACAGCGCATGAGACAGGAGACACATACATTAGACACTCTAAGAACAGTCCTGAAGTATGCAATGCTGGGACAGCATTAAAGGGAAGGTACCAGACACACCTCTATAAAGGTAAGTAAATTACCTCTTTTATTGCAGAGTAGTCCTTTTTGCATTCCACTCAGTAATATAGTGCTGCAGATGTGCCCACCCTGGCTGGTCCATGATGGTCCCATTTTGCTGATGTCACTGCTGAGACTCCTCTTCTGGATCCTGCTGAGAGATCCTCATTGCTGAACAGCAAATAGGAAGTGTCTCCATCAGGAAGGCAGTGATCTGCGCACCTAAAGAAGGACCCCCCCCTTCCTTTACACAGAAGGAGAGGGAAGACTTGGGGCAGTTAGGTAATTTGTTTTCTATGCTAGCAATTGGTTAGAGGGCGGCAGGTGAAGGGATAATTGTGGGGCAGATGGCAGGCTGGATGTGGCTTTAATCTAACATTCAATAGATAGAGGGCAAATTTTAGTAACCGATCCAGCCACAAAATGTTTTGTCACCCAAAAAGACACATAGACTTGCATGTCTGTATGCTAGTGGGGGACTGTGGTGCCTCATAGATATCATAAGCATTATCTATTCTTGGCAATTTTGTGGGACCATGTGACAATCTGCTGCTTGTATGTATTGGTAAGGAACTGGCAGAGTGCATGATATCGTATATTTAAAGAGGCTCTGGCAGGTCCCAAACAAATGCAGTGGCTGTCCCCTGCAATAGCAGAGGTAGCACTTCTATGTAGAGACAGAGGAAGGTACCACAGCGCATGAGACAGGAGACACATACATTAGACACTCTAAGAACAGTCCTGAAGTATGCAATGCTGGGACAGCATTAAAGGGAAGGTACCAGACACACCTCTATAAAGGTAAGTAAATTACCTCTTTTATTGCAGAGTAGTCCTTTTTGCATTTAGGGACCTGATAAGCTGTTTATTTTATGTACCCTCCCTCTGTTACTGGTTTAATGAAATTAGCTGCAAATGGAAAGTAAACTGCAGTTAAATCAATAGTTTAATATTTTTTTTATTGAAAAACATACTTCTACAAATGTTTAGCAAAAAATTATTATATATATATACATTCGGGGGGGGAATGGAGCAAAATACAGGGGATGCCAGTGCTCATCTCTTACTTTTAAATACTGGTTGCTTTGCTGTCTCTGCTTTTGATATTTTGAGACACTGATCTAAAATATGCTTCCAGATCCAAAATGTATACTCAAGTCAGAGCTCTGCATATTTAGAATGTACTGAAGCCCCTTGATCAGCATGACAGGGGACTAGAATTTTCAGAAGACATCAGCAATGGCCTTTATATTGCTTCTTGTTGGGTTTCTGACCTACCTATTAAATGCAGGACTAGTTAGGTTTGACCTATTTATTGTTCATTCACACAAACTTTGTAGGGTTGAAAGTGTAATAAGCACCCATTTGTGTTAATTATTTCAAATACTTGTTTATAGTTGTTTGATATGTATATACTGTAAAAAAAATAATAATTGATGTATGCTGAAAACCTTTACATAAAATGTATACTGATTATAGCTAGAATAAGTCCCATTTCACATGGACAAATCCGATCAGGTCCGCCTGCCTGTCTTTAAGGCGGATCCGATCAGATGGCCAATGCTTCACTACGGGCAACTGGGTCTAAATGGACATGTGCCCGTTTACACCCGGTTACCCCCAACTCTGGCCAGGTGTGGAAAAGCAACAGAACAGTGTTCCGTTTCGACAGACATGATCATGCTGGATGGGGGGGGGGGGAGAGGTGTAATCTGTTGTAAACAGACACATGTATTTTATTTATTTATTACAGGTATTTATATAGCGCCGACAATTTACGCAGCACTTTACATAGTTGCACATTCACATCAGTCCCTGACCCTCAAGGAGCTTACAATCTAAGGTCACTATCTCACATGCATACATAGAGGGCCAACTTAGAGAGGAGCCAATTAACCTACCAGCATGTCTTTGAATGTACATTTATATCCGATTTTCCATTGTCCGACATGGGGCCCAGTCACCTCAGCTTTTTACTCCAAAAAAAAGTGGACAGACACGGATGTCATAGTGGTGACATCTGATCCATACTGCTCCGATCAGGAGAGGATCGGTGCGTGGATCCCTTCCTAATCAGCCTGCTTGAAAGGGGCCCAAGAGAGAAGCATGTTCAGTTGTGTAATATATCTATGTGGAATGCAGTGCTCACTTTAAAGGCATTGCACTGTAACAAAGTTGGGATGATGTGTATTTTTTGTTTTTGTTTTTTTTTTGTCTAATGTACTCTAGCAGTCCCCCTTAGGCTCATCTAGCTGCTCACAGCATGGGGGAGGGTAAAAGCAAGCAAAAAGTACAAAGTGGTCCAGTATTGAAGTGTGGCAGCAAGATTTTCTTTTGTGTTTGAATAAATCTGAAAGTCTTTATTTTAAAGTATGTAGAGTAATGTGTTATCCTTTGTAGCATGATGCATTACTATATACTTGCATCACTAGCAAATCATTTCTATTGTATCTCGGGTGTATAATTCTACTGCAATCCAGAACACATTGTATTATTTAAATTAGTACAAATTATAAAGAAGAATATTGTATTTGTGTTTACTAAAAGCATCTACTGTGGAAATACAGGTTATTGCCAGTTCACAGGTTGACAGTCCTTAGAAGTCAACATTGTGGTACTGTACTGTGCTGATCTTGTTAAGCTTTAAAACAAAAAGTGCTGTGTTTGTGAATGTGTACACTTGCAGATTGCTTTTCTGTGGTGGACTTTGTGGATTAATTCAGGTTATAATGACAAATTTAGGAGCAAGCACTATGCTTTTTTGTGTCCTCCCGTTACCCTAAGGAGAACTATGGGGAAAAGCCCTAACCCCATAGTTCTCCTTTAACTTACGAGCAGTCACCCAGAACATCGCACTTTTTTGCACAATGCACTTTTTCGTGCTGTGCGGACAACATGCAGGTGTGATCAAGCTACATTAGAATGTCTTAGTTTTTCTGTATTTCGCGTTTCCACGTGTACAAATATGCATGGAAAAACGCTAATGTGTGAACGGAGCCTGAGGCGACGGTTCTGATCGGCTTCTCATGCAGGGCCAATTCTTCTTTAGAACTTAGGTAAGCATTTGTGGAATCTTAACAAGTTAATTCACATGGCAGCATCATAAGGAAGATGCAGACCTAAAGTATTTATTTTTTATTTTTACTGAAGGTCCACTTTACACAGCAGTTAACCAGAGCTAATTCTTCTGATTTTTCACAATACGAGTGTGAATGTTTTGTGAACGTTGAATTTCTAATAGTTAATGGAATCAAATTATCACTTGATTTCGACTTTGGTGACCAAAAAAAATGGGGAGTAAGAAGGAACAATTTTTCTTGAATGAACACAATTCTAACAGTAAAAAAAAGCTCCATTTGTTTCCAAAATGGAATGTTAAATTAAAAAGAAATTTCCAACAACATTTTACAAGTGTCTGATGACATTGTTGAATGTTATGACAAGATTTTTTGCATGAACATTCATTTGCAAATCTACCATTGTATGGCCAGCTTTATCCTTAATGTAGAACTGCCAAAAAGTTGTTTTTCTTAGTCTTGGATGGAGTAAGGGAGGCTTATAACCCCTGCCAGCTTTTTTGCCATCTGTGTCCCATTCGGGAGATTTCACTTCACTTCCTGTCTGAAAGCCACAACAGAAAGTGAGTGGAAATCCATCCAATGGTCACAGGAAGATTTCCCATCTATTCTTGTTATTATGACAACCCAAAATTTAGAATTTTCTTTTACTTTCACTTTCAGTCATTACTGTCACCAGGACATACAGAGAGGGTGACTCTCCCTACCAGGGCCACATACTTCAATAAAAACCTGACGTGTGCCAATTTCTCTCCACTCTATCTAAAACAAACAACAACAAAAAAAGTTTTAGGTTCAGTTCCACTTTAAGCTGCTGTGACATGATAACATCGGGGGATCAATAGAAGTGGAGGGGATAGGAGGTGTTGGGCAAACTCGTAAGTTAATTTAAGCAAAGAGGAAAAAAATCAGTGCAGTCCTATGCTTTTTCAATAACGCAGTCTACACACAAATGGCTTTCTCTTGAAGGAAACATTTCTTCCAACATTATAGTGTAGTGCTCCCCCACGAAGGAGCCGCCAAAATAACCCGGGTCTTCACTAGTTGTCTAGGGGTTTTGGTCTTCAGCTACCCCATTAGCATTTAACCGCCCTCTTCTAGTGCCCACAAAGCTGATATCCACTCCAGTAGTACAATACTGAATAACTTAACATCTTCACACTGGGCAGAGAGGGTACAGGGATCCTAGGCACCCAGGGTAGTACAGACATAGACTGCAGACTCACCAGTCCTTTTTAGCATCTCAGTGTTGATCCATTTGTAGTACAGCAAATAGTAATTTGAGAAGCAGATGAGCAGGGGTGAGCACAGATCCTCAGCAGGAGAGACACCAGACTTGCTCCTTGGTACTCTACATTCCAGGCACCTCCAGTAGCCATCATCTTCCCTGGTTCTCCTGCCCTTTCCTGGAGGCCTAGTGAAACTTTTCCCGCTCTCCAGCCTCTGCCAACCCCCATGTCTTGGCCTAACATGGGGGGTGGCTGGAAAGCACCCAGTCCTGTGCTAATCCATGGCTGGTCACGCATTAGATTAGACTAGCCATGTGCACATTCCCTACAATATATGTAGCCTGTCCCAGCATGCACCACTGGTTGAGAGAAACCCAGTAATTGGCTGCTGTACTGTACATACACTTAGTGTCCCTCATTGGCTGTCCCATTATACAGCAGAGCCACACTCCACCCATGTAGGAACAATCAATGCCAGACACCTGGAAATAACTAGATAACTGCCAACTACAATCCAGCCAGGCTGACTATAGCCCTGGCAAACACTAACAGGGTTATTCACAAAAGGGTGAAGAGTTGGGAGAAGGCAGGAAAAGTGAACAGTCTAGAATGGCTAGGCAACCTTAGCTCTCCAGCTGTGCTGAAACTACTAATCCCATCATGCTTCTTCCTCTGGGAGTCATGTCTATGGCTTGCAATGCCTTATGGCATTTGTAGTTTCAGCACAGCTGGAGAGCCAAGGTTGTCTACCCCTGATCTAGGACAACATAGCTGAACTGGAAAGTGAACTGAATTGGAGAATATTTCCAAACCAGCTATATTGTCCTAGATTGTTCACTTCTCCTGCCTTCTCCAAACTCTTCACCCTTTTGTGAATAACCCTGTAAATTTCTAGTAGCCACCTCGCGAAAAGGTGATGGGAGATACAATACATAGTTTATAAACTAAAGTTTTGTATAGTTTATAATTGAACACTTAATACCAGGTGCATCTAAGACCCTTAGCTTGCAGACCATGATGGACTTTCTAATAAGAAAGCACAGTACATCCTGCGCTCTTGTATACCTTTCTGCTGACTGCCAGATGGTCCCGTCTCTGCTAGCAGAATGGGAGTAGAACATGTCCCACCTCCGCTATGAGGTAATATGATATCCTGTTAGTTAGGTCTATTCATAAAACAAATCAATTCACAGTCATTTGAAAACTTGAGTACTAGCCTTGTACTTGCCACCTGCTGCCTCCAATGTTTCCTATTAACCTGACTAAAAAGAAATGTAGTCCTGAGCATAAAAATTAAGACATTTTTAAAATACCATAAATTATTTCAATAGGTATTAACTAAATTCCAAATGTGTGAGTGAACAGGTAAAAATGCCCATAAAACGTATCCCCAACACAAATATATATGTTTGCTCATATGGTGAAATCTTTCCATAGGTTTCCTAGAGACATAAAAACATGGTTGTATAACACTTTTCTTCTTGATTTGGCCTTGTAGGTGTTATTAGTATAAAATTAACATGGCATTTTTATTTAAATACATGTTCTGTTTATTTTGCTCCACACTGGTACCTTTGTGATAAAATCTGTTATTTAATTGCCAGAGTTATGCAGCCCCATGTTGTAAACACTGACAGAGATAGACAGGCGAAATCACTTTGGCTGTATATTACTCTCCACTTGTTTTCCAGTCTAACTCTGAGTAGATGTTTGAAAGTTGGGGCTTTTCAGTGGAACCCGAAATAGATTTGTCTTTACAGGCTTGAATCAGCTTGAATGTTTTTTGTTTTCATTTTTTTGTAGCAACATAGCCATAAGAATAACATAAATGCAGAAGTATGTTTGAAGCATGCTTGAACCTCATGATTTAAGGCCCAGTTCACACTGAGCGATTTATCGCGCGATTTTGGCAGCGATATCGCTCATATTTCCACGCGATATCGCTCTATGTAGCTTCTTCAATCCATTTCAATGGAGCTGTTCACATCTCGTCGCTCAATATCGCTGTTAGCTCGTCGCTGGTAGCTTGTCGCTCCTACATGACCTTTTTTCGAGCGATTTCGAGCAATATTGCTCCTGATTGCATACAGCCCAATAGGAAAAAGTCGCTCAAAATCGCGCGATTTTCATGTCACTCAGTGTGAATGGGGCCTAAGTCCAGATGCCGTGTTACCTTATAGAGTTTGTCTGTAGGACTTGTATTGTGTGTTTTACTTAGTGAAGTGTGTTGTGGATCAGTTTTTCTTTTTTTAGTGTGTCAAGGAATGTGTTGGAAAATGTATAAAGTTTTACTTTAAATTAAACACATTTCTAAATATATTTACTTACTTTTAGGTACTCTCAGCCACTCCATGAAGAGATTGCACTTCACAGGCACCTGAAACACAAAAATATTGTCCAATATATGGGCTCATTCAGCGAAAGTGGCTTTATTAAGATATTTATGGAACAAGTTCCAGGAGGTAAGTTCACTTTTTTTATTTCAAGAAGAACTCCAGGTACTTCAAATATTATCCCTTACAATAGGGATAATTCTCCTCCCCCCACCCCATCCCCAAGGGTTAAGTGCTTGTTTTGGTCTGGGGTTGCCTCACTGGAAGAGTTACATTTTTAACTGCCTGGAGTTCTTTAAGTCATAATGAACATGAATGCGTACTGCATGTTTTGCACGTTTAACCAGTTCAGCTCCTGTACCCGTTATACCCCTTATGTACCAGAGCATTTTTTACATTTCTGCTATGAAACTGTTTATTCAGGAATAACTTTTTAAACAACTAATATAACAAATTAATACATATCTTGTTTTTTGGGGCAAACTAGGCTTTCTGTTGGCAATATATTGGCAACATGTATTTTCTATGTAAAGTGTAGATTAAAAACAATTTTTTTTTTTTCTATTTTGACAACTGTTAATTTAAAAACAATGGATTTTAATTTAAAGGAGAACTATGGGGTCAGGGCTTTTCCCCATAGTTCTCCTAAGGGTAATGGGAGGACACAAACTAGCGTCCTCCCATCACCCAAAGCTGAGTATACCGCGAGCTGTAGACGCCGGAACGGATCCCGACAATTATGTCTGGATCCACCCGGCTGCGTGAGTGACAGCTGGCTCTGCCTATCTAGAGGCAGTGCCAGCTGTACCCGCCCAGTCTGTTCCGCCAGTCAGCGCTGGAGGATCGGTCAGGGAAAGGGGGAATCCATTCCCTCCCCTGTCACGGCTCTCTGCCGCCACAGGATCCAGAAGTGAGCGAGCGCCGGTATGTGTTCGCTCACTTCCCTATCTACTGGGCCGACCTGTGACAGTTTCATTGTCACAGGTCGGCTCAGATTATGAGGCTGAGTGAAAATCACTCACCTCATAATTCTCCTTTTAAATAAAAGTACATTACTCATTAGGGCTGCAACAACTAATCGACATAATCGATTATAATTATTGATTTCTCCTGTTCAGCCCGCAGCCTTAATTTCTCATCCCTTTTAAATATAAGGCAGCCGTGCATGTGTCGGTCTCTGAGGTTGTTCTGGCTGTTTGATGTAGTATATCGATTAGCTCACAAAAATTGCAAATAGCCAACTTGCTGACTAATCTTGGTCATCACTGATCTCTTGTTACCCAACTTGTGTATATTAGGGCTGCAACAACTAATCGACATAATCGATTATAATCGATTATTGAAAAAGTTGTCAACTTTTTCAATCATCGATTAATCGGCTTCCGATTGGTTGGCCATGTTCACAGCTCCACACACGCTGCGCGCCACACCTCCTCCCCACCTCACGCTCACCGTTGCCAGATCCGCCCGCCCGCATCCACGCGCCGCACCTTCTCCCCGCCTCATGCTCACTGCCCGCCCAAATCCACGATCGGCGCAGGGAGAAAAAGTAAGGAGGAGCAGGTGTGGGCGGATGACAGCCTCCGATAGACAGAACCGATCTCAGAAAGAAGTTGCTGTAAGACTGCTCAGGTAAGCCAGCACCTCGCCCACATGGTGCTCTATAATGTATTGCTGGGATAGTGGGATTTGTAGTCCCCTATAGCTGATGGTACATTGTGCTGTATATTATACCATCAGCTATAGGGGACTACAAATCCCAGCAATACATTATACACTGTATGTATAATGTATTGCTGGGATTTGTTGTATTACTATATAGCTGGTGATATTCTGCACTGCGCTGTATAGAGGACTACAAATCCCAGCAATAATACATTATACAGTGCAATGCAGAATGCCGCCAGCTACAATGTTCTATTGCTGGGATTTGTTGTATTCCTCTATAGCTGGTGGTATTCTGCATTGTGCTGTATAATGTACTATTGCTGGGTTTTGTAGTCCTCTATAGCCGGTGCCATTCTGCATTCATTGCTATATAATTTTACACTTTTCATTTCACTATATTGCACATCATACTTTTTTTTTTTTCTTTTTTACTTCCACCGCTCCAAGCTTACTCCTGTGATGGACTGCAATCTCAATACAAACTAGTAGTCCATCACTGGAGCCATTTTTGTAAATGTATTTTATTTTTTATCCGATTAACCGATTAATTGAACGTAATAATCGGCTAACTAATCGATTTTGAAAATAATCGTTAGCTGCAGCTCTATTACTCATTCTATAATTTGTTCAATTTAAAAAGACTCTAAAATCAGATTTCTGGTACAAAGCATGCCAAAGTATTTGTAAATGACAAAAAAAATGTCAGTTTTTGTTCTTTAATGCAACACTGAAAATAAAGAACAAACAAAACGAATTAAAAAAAATATTAAGGGAAAGAAAAAGAGAATGGAAGGGGTTAGGATGTGGGACTGATTAGGATTAATTAGGGAATAATAAAGGGTTAAATAGGACAATATTTTATTTTAAAAAATGTTTTATTTGTAAGTTGCTTTTTTTAATTTTTATAATGCTAAAAATGCCTTTTATTTACTTAATGACACTTGCAGACTACCATTGTTATTTTACACAGGAGTGGCTACATTTTGGTAGCTGTTCCTGCGTAATACAAAGCTATTCCCAGCTGTCATTTTGACAGCCGGTAATAGTTGCATGAGGCAGCAGTGGGAGAGAAGCTGGACATAAGAGATGCTTTCAGAAAACTTTGTTGAAGTTTTTAAGTTGTACTGTGTTCAAAATTTTCAAATGATTAAGCAATGTTGTATATCATAATATTCCAAGGGTTAAGGAAGCCTTCACTGCCAAGTTTTCAAGTTTTTTTGTTTTTTTTGTCTGTGTGGTATGATTTAAGCATCTCCCAATTTTCCCAGAGCTAGAAGCTCCAGTCTTAGTGTTCACCTCCAGCACCATCTCATGGTGAGTACTGGTATTGTGATATACTTGTGAGGATTAAAGTAGTAGGCTAGCCAAAACATTTCTTTAAGTTTTGGATATGATATTGCTGTCTCTGTGTCCATTGGGGAGATTTCCTTCACCTTTTGCAACAGATGATTCCAGTCACTGAGACAAAAAGTTAATGGAAAGTCCTCTACAGAGTCTTTACCTCTCCCCCATAATCTTAAAAAAATAATGTTTTATTGTTGTATTCCTGTTGGGGACTTTTCTCAACTCCTTGTCCATGTTGGCACCAGCCACCAAAGAGGAAGTGAGGAGGTACTACTTCTTCGCCATTTGCTTCAGAAAAAGAAACACATAATTAGTCAGGACTTCTGCTTAAAGGAGAACTATGGGGTTCTATTTTTTCTTTATTATTGCATTCCTTAGGCTAAAGAAGTAAATAGTGTAATTTTACAACCGAAGCCTGTAAACCCTTCTTTAAGATGGAGGACGGGGCTAAGTGCCGCAATGAGGAGAGATCCCGACAATACTGTCTGGATCCTCCTCGCTGATCTTCGTCACTCTGACAGCGATTCTTGAGAGCTGCTGCGCGTCCATGAATATATGGGCATGTGCAGCAGCTCTGTCCACGCAGCTCTCTCCTTACCTGCACGTCTCCGTCCTCTGTGCCAGCCTTTCCTTCCCCTCTCTCTCCCTGCCCTGTGTCACGCTGACATACTAATCACTGTGGATCGCTGAAGAGAGAGGGGAAAGAGCCTTTTCTTTCTCCATCATTTACCACATATGGGCAATTCCATATATGGTGACTGATGTCACTGGGGATCCCTGCAGACTGGCAAGCATCCGATCAGCAGGGATCCCCAGTGACATCATTCACCATATATGGACTTGCCCATATGTGGTACATGACGATGAGAGAGAGGGCTCTTTCACCTCTCTCTCTCCCTGCCCTATGTCATGCTGACACCTAATCACTGGGGATCGCTGATGAGAGGGGGGAAAGAGCACTAAGAGTGCAGGGAGGCTGAGGCAGTTCATTTCTTACCATCTATTGCCGCTGCCTTTTCACTTGAGACTCAGCCTCCAGCTCCCAAATGCCAGCGTACACGCTCTGACAAAACACAGCTGTGCACGATGAGAGGAAGAGCGGCCAGAGCAATGGGAGAATTTGGGGGGGGGGGGGGGGGGGGGGGGGGGGGCACGCCA